GGTCATGTTGTTTCATAAAATAATTGATGAAGTGTTGCCTTCTACTTTTAAAAAAATTATTTCTTTCTCTTTCTCTCTCCTTTCTTTTTAAAAAATTTTTTAGGCAGCACTGGGTTTTGGACGCAGGCCAGTGTGTTTATGCGTGCTTGGTAGGTGCTCTACCCTCTATGCACCTGTGCTCTTTTTTTTTTAGTTATTTTTTTCAGATGGGTTCTTACACTTTTACCCTGGGGAAGAACTTGAACTCTGATACCCCTTCCTATGCCTCCTGAGGAGATGGATTACAGGTGAGCATCAGCATGCCAAGAACTGTCCTCGTTTTTTTTTTCTATAGAGATACCATAGATTTGGCATTCTTTCTTTCTTACATGATTGATGGAGTCAACAATTCCAACAGATTTGATCTTAAGAGTCTTCCAAAGTCTCATGTGTTGAAATCTTGGTCTTCACTACAGTACTATTTGGTGTTGGTGGAAATGCTACAAGGTGGGCCTAGTAGGAGGTCATTTGTCCTAGTGGGAGGTCATTTGGTCAATGGGTATGTTTTCTTGAAAAGGATTGTGCACTTGGATCTCTTCCTCATTCTCTTTGTTTTTCTGACCATGAGGTGAGTGTTTTCTTCTACCAAACACTTCTGCCATGATGTGCAGCCTCCACACAGGTCCAAAGCAATGACACCAATAAGTTATGGGATGAAGTTTCCAAAAATGTGAAGCCAAAATTGGCAGTTCCTCTTTATAAATTGATTTATATCAGTTATCATAGTGATGGAATGCTGAATAACAAAAAATTGTTGCCCAGAATAGTTGCTTGCTGTTACTATGCACCTAATGATGTGGTAGAACCTTTGGAATTGGTTTGTAGGAAGAATTAGGAAAAAGTTTAAAGAAGCAAGCTAGGCACCATCAAGAGTGCTATAAGCAAAGCTTAATGTGTAATTTTGGTAGAGGCTCAGAAGAGCAGAAGGCTGATAGAAATGTGGATGCCAGAGACATTTTAGATGCAAATGAGTATTCTATGGGGAATTTGAGAAGGGCTACCATGGTTACACAGTCATAAAATGTATGATTATATTTTGTCACCTCCCTGAGATTTTGTGAGAGGCTAAGTTTAAAAACAATGGGAATTTATCTGGTGGTGGGAATTTCAAGGAAACAGAGCATTCAGACAGAAATGTGGGAATTACTGGCTTCTTTTAGCCAAACCTATCATGAGAATTAGGAGCAAAGAGGAGCAAAGCGGAAATATTTAAAAAAAAATCCTTACAGTTTCATAAGAGCATGAAAAAAGTTTTGTCCAGAGAGTGTGTGTGGTTAATAATCCAAGTGCCTGGTACCAGGACAATAGGAAAGATGCCTTGAGGACACATTAGGCATCAGCAAGGATGTAAGCCCCTCGGGTTCAAGGGTGTAGAAATGAAGTTTTTTTCAAAGGTTTTCTTTTGACAAAAGTACATTGGAGCACCCTGTACAATCAGTAGTACCTAGGTATTCATATCCTGATATTCAGTCAGAAACAGGGATTCATGAAAGCTTTCACTGATGTTTCAGAGGAAAACCAGGGGGGCAGGCATTGTTTTGTGGGGTCGATATCCTTGAAATTAGTTCCCCCGGAAAGGCAATGAATAGTGAGGCTCTGAGAATGAAGCTAAGGCTGTAATGGAGCCAACTGATTGTGGGCTGACACCTCCATAATTGTGAGCCAAAGTTAAGTTTTTCTCTTTATAAGTTTATTTATTTCAGATATCTGTCTAACATACCAGCAGACTTACACAGGCCAGGGGTTTTATTGGAAGGATTTTAATTACAAATCATATTTTTCAACTAGTTAGACTGTTACTTGTTCATCAAGTTTTGCCCTTTACAAAGTCAATTCTATTTTCTAGTTTCTTGAAGTTTTGGACATGGGATGATTGTGTTTTCTCACTGTCCTTTTTATGACTGTAGTATCTGTAGTCATAGCCATTTTTACCCCTGCTGTTGGCAAAATTATATTTTTTCTAATCTTGCTAGAAATTTATCAACTTAATTGCAATTTTCATAAAACCACACAGGTTTTATTTATTTTCTTTTTTAAAATCTTTTTAAAATTATTATTGCTTTACTGGGGGTACATTGTAACATTTACCAAAACTCTTACAATAGATCATAGTCAAATATACCCCCTCCATCATTATCCTTTATTTTCTGAACTCATTTTTTCTTTTAAATTATACTGAATCTCCATGATGTTTGTATTCCTTCCTTGATTTGAGAAAAAAACATTATTTTGGAAGAAGATTTCGTTATTGAATTGAGAACTTTTTGTTTTTTTAATATAAGCACATAATAGCAAAAATTTCTATTTAAGGACTAATTTATTTGCATCTCACACTTTTTGATATATTCTATTTTCATTTTTATTAAGTTCAAAAAATTTTACATGTCTTTAGAAATTTTTTGACTCATGTTATTTTTAAATGCATTGTTTAGTTAGGAATTTTTGTCTGTCTTTCTGTTACTGATTTGTAGTATACTTCCATAATGGTCTGATAGCATACTTTGGATAATTTGAAGGCTTTAAATTTACCAGGGTCTTTTTTTACCACAGTGGAAATGCTTCAAGGTTACCTGAAAGCAGTATGTATTCTGAGAACACTGGGGAGAGTGCTATATAAGTAGGAATTATTTTATGTTGATTGGTAGAGTTGCTCAGTTTTCCAGTTTCTATGTTGGAGATCTTTTTACTTCTCATATTGATTATAGAGAGATAGGTTAAATATGCCAATGTAATTGTGGGGTGACTTTTGTTCCTTTCATTCTACCAGTTTTTGTTTTATGTATTTTGAAGCTTTCTTGATAGGCCAATACACAATAATAATTTTGTAGATTTTAGTTAGAATAACTTTGTTATATTTATGTATTATCTTTTACCATTTGTAGTTATCCAAATGTTGAGTATAATTTTTCTGATGTTAAGAGAGTCATCATAGTATTTTGATTACTATTTGGATGATATATCTTTACCTTTTACTCATTTTGTTCTTCTTCTGTGTTTAAATTTTATATTAGAAGTAACTTTTCCAATAAATAATGCATAAGGTTTTGTTTCTCTGGCCACACATTCCTACCTTATTTTATATTTGAATAGTTAAATTCTATTTTGATTTATCTTATGGCTTTTGTGTTATATCTATATATTTTGGGAGGTTAATTCAGAGATTAAAATATTCATAAGTAATCTTTCATAGCTATTCTATTCTACATATCCAATATAACTAATCTATTCATAACTAATCCTTAGGGTTCCTATTTTGCTTCTTTAACAGAAAGGCATATGTCTTGCAAACTTCCAAATGCTTCATTATTTTATCTTTTGATTGCAGTTGTTGTGGACACCACAGAAAGTTACTTTCAAAACCCCTCATTCAATATTACAATTTTTGGTTTGCACAGTTACATGAATTTTAAAGAACTTCAAAGGAAAATATAATCTATTGTATCTACCAAAATGTTTACAATTTTAAATTGCTTTTTCTTTATTTATGAAGTTCTAAGCTTTCCCTTAATATCATTTTCTTTTAGCCTGAATAAACTTCATTCAGTATTTCTTTGAGAAATCTTCTCATAGACACACATTTTTCTAGTTATTTTTCACTAGAGAACTATTTTACTTTGCCTTTTCCTGAAGGATATTGTTAGAGATAGAATATTGGGTTCTGTTCAATTAGCACTTTTCCTATGTATTCCCCTTTCTTTTGTTCTCTATAGTTCCTAATGAGAAATCCATACTAACTCACTGTTCTTTAAAAGTAATGTGTTGTATATTGTTAGCTGCTTTCAAGTATGTTTTGTTTTTTGGCCATCAGAATTTGACTCTGACATTTCTAGACATAATTTCTTTTGAGTTTACTGTAATTGGATTTGCAACTTTAAAACTCCATATATTTCTTTTACCAAATTTGGTAAATTTAAACCATTATTCCCTTAAACACATTCTTGCATGAATTTATGCCCTCTCATTTGAAATCCTAATGCTATTAATATTACAACTTTGGTATGCTCTTAGTAGTCTTGTAACTTTATTTATATTTCAAATTTTTAAGACAAAAAAGAATATGGAATGACATCTAATGGCTTTAAAATAAATACCTAATGGTTTTTAGAAAAGATGCCACCAGAAGCTTGTTTAAAGTATGTAAAAGTCCTGTGAAGGAATGGTCATATTCAACTTCACTGGTTCTTTTTCTGGGAAAATATAGGAAATACTAATATTTAAATACACTTCATTGAGAATGGAAGTAGAAAATCATGTCAACATTTAAGTCTTCAAAGGGATTTCACACAGATAAAGTTTTCAGTAGAATAGTACTTGGAACACAGAGCATTTAGGCAATGGTAAACAAAAGTGATATGTATTATCGTTCTTAATGACAACAACAACCCACCATAATGCATCACTGCTACTTAACCAGAGCAGAAAACTGAGGGACACAACAATGTTATGTTTTATTGGTACAAATCAAAGATTTAAAAAGTAGAATTTTTTCCCATGATAGATGTGTTGAAAAATAGATGAAGTTAGAAATTTTTATAAATTAAAAGGAAGTAATTGTTTCTTGTAATTCAACCAGAAAAAATGATAAATACTGGATATTAAATGAAAAGAAAACCACATTTGTTATTTCAGATTGAACGAATTTATTAGGAAAAGAGAGAAGGTACTTTTGCCTAAAAATCAAAAGATAGGATCTGTGGAAGCATCCTTCTGATGAGAGACAATTTATACATTTACAGGATGAATTCCACATTCACTCACTTTTCGCAAAATAAACCTACAAAAGAATGAATTTGGAACATAAGATCCAGTGGACACCACAGGACTAGTCTCCAGTAACATTCCATCAGAAACCTGTGATGTCGTGTCACCATCATCTACATGTGAGGTTCAGAACATGTGGGTTTCAGTATCCGTGAGTCTTGCCATCACAGGTGTAGAGGAGTTATTCTTCCACTATGTCTTCAGTAGTAGTAGCCAAATCCAGAGCCATAGCCAGAGCCACAGAGAGAACGGGAGCCATAGCCATAGCCACAGCCCAGTCTGCCAAAGCCACAGCCATAGCCACAGCCTAGTCCTCCATAGCCATAGCCCAGGCGACAGCCATAGCCCAGTCCACAGCCGTAGCCCAGTCCACAGCCATAGCCCAGGCCTCCATAGCCCAGTCCTCCATAGCCACAGCAGCCATAGCCACGGCTGCCATAGTAGTTTCCATAATAGCTGCCACACATGGTGTTGGTTGTTGAGGTTGTCCTTGGGTAGAGAAGGAGTGTCGTGACTTGAGTCTGGACACTTCTGCCTGCAGAGGGCCTTTTATATGTCCTCAGTGTGGGTGGGACCCACAACATGTGCTCATGCTGTTGACTAAATTTATGACTAATCTAATTATTTTGTTGTTTCTTAAACATAAGATAAAGCTTCAGAGGTATTTGCTTGGTCTCTCACGTGGATTCCCTTTATCCAATTTAGAGTTTCAATGAGAGGAACATTTACTCACACTCCTGCCTCAAACAGTACTTTCCTCCAATAACTATCTTCTATACAACCAAAAATACTCGTCACAATCATTTGTTTTGTAACTCACGTGTTACATTACTTTTGAAAAACATTTTGCAAGAATTACATTCCTTTTGACTTATAAGTTTTTCTTTTCAGTCAATTCAAACTAATTTTCTTCTGGGATTCAGTTCCTTTTCTGTACTGAAACCAAATGTATCTTTTATTATGCTGATAATAACACAGCTAATTAGTGTTTCCACAAAACCACATCTGAGTAAATGCTTTATACTTTTCTACTTACAGCAATGAGTCTCATGTTCACTTAGTTTAATTTCTATTGAGCTATTATAAAACAAAATTTTTTCCCTGCAATCCAATTTTTCCACTTGGTTTTCCAAATTGATGACAGTGATTAGTTAATATTCTAATGAGTATTGGAATTATATTGTATGTAGCTATCCAATGAGCTTAGCATCACCTATTTATGTTTATCAATGTATGAAACACAGCTGTCTTTCATTATCAAACTATACCAGCTATATTCTATATTCTCTTTGCGACTAGATATGCTGACTTCTTGTGCATAATCCTACAATTTTCACTGTCTTCATTCAATTCAATGTCATAATTATTCCTGTTCTAGGCATAAAAATGTGAAGTTTCATGTTTTAGTTGAAAAATGAATTTTCATGCTATGAGAGAGTGAATGTGAGATGACATTACCCATGTAATATAGCTAATACATGTATCTTGATGAGCATATGAAAAAGAAATCTCTATTAATACAACATCTTATATTAGTGATTAAATTAAACATATTCATTTATTTATCTTATATGTGTGACTGGGATTTCAGGCACAAACTACCATACAAGTCTGAATGTATGTTTTTGTGTTCTTTACATGTGTATCTCTTGATAGATTTTTTTTGTAAACTCTATGGATATTTTATTCATTATTTGTAGGTTAACGTGTTTTAATTATTGGACATTTTCACTATATTATTTTCAAATTGTATATACAGAAAATGATAGTGGCTACAACTTCTCACAGTGCAGAGTCAAACAATAAATTGGAATGAATTTTAAGTAATAATTTAAATAACATGATGGTCAGTTTCCCTTGAAACTAAGGTTTTAGAAAAATCTCCTGAAATTGGAATGACTATATTGCATCAATCTTAAAAAACCCTATAATCAAAATTTTTCATTTGAATAAAATACTTATAAATACATTATTTTGTGTAGTATAATATCATTAATAGAAAAGTTTACTAAATTATTTCTCAATAGATCTACTACCTGGAATTAATTTCTTTAGGCTGAAAAATTTAGTTTTTACTGCTAATCTAAATAGTGAGAGCTTCTACCTAATGAGATTCCTGTTTAATTTTTTTCTGATGAGATTTTCCAATGTATATTGAATTTTTTTGTTTATTTGTTCATTTATACACATGTACATATATTCTTTGGGGCATCTCTCCTCTTTGCTCCCCACCCCCTTCTTCTCCTCCTCACCCCCCTTGCTTCCAGGCAGAACCTGTTCTGTTCTTTTCTCCAATTTTGTTGAAGAGAAGACATAAGCAATAATAAGAAAGATATAGCATTTTTGCTAGTTTGAGATAAGGATAGGTATACAGAGAGATTCCTAGCATTGCTTCCATGCACATGTGTATTACAACCCGAATTGGTTCATCTCTACCAGACGTCTTCACTACTTCCCGGTCAATGTTCCATAGTGACCTCTGTCATTTTAAGGTTACTATATTATCTGCTGTACAGTGGGCACATCAAACACTTTCAAGTTTTTGGCTTCCTGCCTTTCCCTAATCCTCCTGTATGTGTTCTCCCCTTAGTGTGTTACCCATGTCCAATAATATTACTGCATTTGTTTTAGGTCTAAATTCTGCATATGAGGGAGAACATACAATTTTTGGCCTTCTGAGCCTGGCTAACTTTGCTTAAGATGACATTCTCCAGTTCCATCCATTCACTTGAAAATGACAAGATTTCATTCAACTTCATGGCTGAGTAAAATTACATTGTGTATAAATACCACATTTTCTTAATCCATTTGTCAGTAGTGGGGCATGTTGGCTGTTTCCATAACTTGGCTATTGTGAATAGTGCTGCAATAAACATGGGTGTGCAGGTGCCTATGTAATAGCTTGAGCCGCATTCCTTTGGGTATATCCCTAGGAGTGGGATTGCTCAATCATAGGGCAGATCTAAGTTTAATTTTTTAAAGGAGTCTCCACAATGTTTTTCCAAAGTGGTTGTACTGGCTTACATTCCCACCAGCAGTGTATGAGAGGGTTCCTTTCCCCCACATCCTTGCCAACATTTGTTGGTGGTGTTAAGTATATGTCATACAAAAAAAAATACAGAACAAAATAACTTCTTGGGGACTAGCAGAGTGAGACTCAAGTCATAAGAAAAGCTGCCTACCAAGTATGAGGCCCTGAGCTCAAACCCCAATGTTGCCAAAAATAAATAAATAAATAAATAAATAAATAAATAATAAACAAGTTTTCTTGAACTCAAATTCTCTCCAACACATCACAGCTTAGTTTTCTGTTTATCACAAAATTTCACATGCATTTCCATGGTGAATTTCTACAATCTCTTCTCAAACTTGTGGTCTTTGGTCCACACCACTCCACTGAAATTGCTCCTACATGGATAATTAAAACCTCAATCTTGCTAAATTTAGAGTTCAGATCTTCTTCATTTTATTAAGCCTATAAGTAGCATTCAGATTTGCCAACCTCTTTTTATTCTCTTCATACTACTGCACATTAGGTTTCATTTCAATCTCACGGACTGCTCCTGTTAGCAGTCCTCTAACAGGAGGACTCTTTTCTTTCTTTCAGATGTTATCCTCCAATATAAGGGGGGCTTCTGCCTCTTATGTTCTCTGAATAACCTCTCTTTTGTATAAAGAGAAAATTACAAATACTTTTCCTGGATTAATCACACATCACATTTCCATTTTTTTTTGTGGGGCTGGGGTTTGAACTCAGGACTTTATGTTTGCATAGCAGGCACTCTACCACTTAAGTCACACTTCCAGTCCATTTTGCTCTGGTTATTTTGGACATGGAGTATGTTGAACTATTTGCCTGAACTGCAATCCTCCCTATCCCAGCCTCATAAGTAGCTAGGATTATATGAGTAAATGATTGGTGTCTGGCCACACTTCCATTTCTTTTTTTTTTTTTTTTTTTTTCGGTGCTGGGGACCGAACTCAGGGCCTTACACTTGCCAGGCAAGTGCTCTTCCACTGAGCTATATCCCCAACCCTGACACTTCCATTTCTGATCTATAGATACATATCTCCAAATGATCATTTGACACCTTGTTAAATGGTTGGTGTCAAAAATTATCAAGAAGAAATTATAATTCATGATTTTGATACTCCTAAATCTATTCTCTTCTTTTTATTTCCCTATGAAAGTGTGAAGGATACACATCAGGTTGGGATCCTAGTAGAGAAAAAAAATCCTTTAATTCCTTCATAGATTGTTTGCTAGATTATGCAAGACACCCAGTCAAGCATGAATTTCAGAATAACAATTGGTATCTAGAATATTGACTATTCCAAATACTGCATTACAAATGGTTTTAAAACTTATTTATCTGAAAAATCAAATTTATCAGCAGGAGCTGTAGTTTTCTTTGTTGTGTCTGGCAACATGAAGCATAGAAAACATTATCTTTGTGGTCTGCCCTGTCACAGTATTGACAATGACTATCTATGAGGGCATTTTGTGATTCTCTGCTTTTCTTTATTGTACAGAGTTAATAATATTTCAGGCTTTTCAGATTCATCAACTTTGTTCCAATGTAAATCCTCTTTCCTTGCCTTACTACATGCAGAACATAGCCACAGGAATGATTGGGTCCTTCTCTTACCATGCCCCCTCCTCCCCTTCCCATAGACATTCCTTGACCATTTACTTTGAAGTACCCTTTAAATTGTTCTTAATTCACCTTGACTTATGCAAACTCCATAACAGTAAGAACATTGTTCTATTCTGTTCACTGCTTCATCTTAATTATCACAATAAAGCCCAACATAAAATTAAGTTTACGTCTGAAAAAAATTAATGAATGACCAAATCAGTACTATTAATAGGTATTTAAAAATTGATCTGTTTTACTTGATTTAGACTTATGAAAGGACTAAAGTATATGAAATGTTCCTGTATCCCTTTCGCTCAGGTATGCCTATATTCATGTCATGAATAATAAAGAAATTATCAAAACTCAGAAAAACCTTTATAATGTTCTTAACTAAGTTATGGATTCTCTTCAGCTGAGTGGTCTATGGGACAAACTGCAGGCACTGTTGTATTCACATTCCCAAGTAATTAGCTTTGAAGCTATGTAAAATATTTCTCATAACCAATATGTCCTAGACAACTATGTTGTGTGTCAGCATGTGTGTAATGATGCCTTGTGTCTTTAATGAGGGATTCTTCTTCTCTTTTAGTGTCTTCTTTAGTCCAAATTAAATTGTATTATTGTTACCATGAAATCAAATAGATGATACAGAATTTATTACTTAAAAATAATATCTTTAATAATACCTTTAACAATATCTTCCTTGTATGCAGTCTTTGGAACTTGGGGATGATTTCAAGGGAGTATGGAATGATGGAAAGAAATTTTGTAGAGGAAAGAACAAGATGGCAAGGTGGTTAGCCATTTCTACCACTCAGGTGGCTATA